TTGTTTGAAAGCCAATCGGTCATATTTTCTTTTTAATCGTGTATTCGGTTATATTATATTATTTTCAGTTTTTAAGGACTATTTTAGAGAGAGAAAACAATACAAGTGTAACTAGGTAAATTCGGTCATGTTTTGCTATTCAAGAAAAAAACTTGCGAAAATGTATGTTTTTCCTTTAATTGAACACCACAATATGCTTGTATCTTTTTTTTATATTTACATAAATAATTACATTTTGAAAGAGATGTGAGATATACACATATATAAGCTCAATATTCTCAAAATTCTATCTTAGTACTATTATAACAGGAATATTTTACTAGAAAGGTAATCAAGTTATAATATAAAAGTTTCGTTCTATTAATTCACATTGAAAATTCTTTCCACTGATGCACTTATCACACGCTTACGCCTTGACTAATGAAAATTTCCATTTCTTATTTAGTTATATAAGAAAATGTACAGACAATATATATATGTGTGTGTGTGGTGATGAATATTTGTATATTTATATCGATTATAAGATCATTTAATTAAGAATTTTGGTCTTGGAACTCATATAAAAAGGGTACGTTCATGACGTTGGAACTAATGTGAAAGACAAATAAGAGAGGTATGGGTATATGAATTATGAGAAACCCCATACTTACAAGATTTACCTTCCAAAGGGGAAGCAATCAATTTGGAGAGGAAGTGTATGTCGATCTTGTAAACATTCCATCTTTAAAGTCAAAACCCTAAATTTCAGTTCCAAAATTGATCGTTTTTTCCCAATGCATGCACATGCAGCACTTTTGATTGCATTCACGTGGCATGGTGGTGATCATCAATATGTAGAGGAAACAATTCATTGTGTATGCTCTTTTATAGAAAGTTGTCTGGAGTACATGACACCTCTACATATGTAACATATTTATTAATGTTGATCAATTGCTTACGAGATATGCATATAACCTGTAACATATTTATTAACGTTGATCAATTGTTTACGACATATTTATTAAAGTTGATCAATTATAACATATATAAAAAGTTTCTGCAGTATATCTTTATATCGCGTTGAAAAGATTCAGAGGTACTTTGGGTGTCAAAAAACAACTTGGTTAGTGATGTCTCGTGAACTATTAAAACATTTAAATTGGGTTTTGCAGATCAATCGAATGGTTCAAAGGCCTTAACATACGTTACATAAAGAGATTTTAAATATCGTCTAGCAAACACCACTGATAAATGATAATTTTAATCCAAAAAGTTAAAAAACATTATAAGATATATTACACCAAAAAAACATTACAAGATCTATTTTGTTAATTCAACCATACTATGTATAATATAGCAAGTCCATCTTCGGCCCAGAATGAAACTATAATGGGCCTTGAGGCCCATTTCCAAATAAAACGTAGTTTGACTCTCTATCCTCTGACGTAACGAAAGTACCAAACACGTGTACTTGTTGATTCCAGTTCTTACATTAGATACGCAACAGCAAACACTCTAAACCACAAAAGATTCAAGTGGGCCCACACATAAAGAATCTTCCACAACTTAACTGTCTTTAATTCTTAAACACGTCATTAGATTAGAGTAAATAAAAGCATAGCATCTTCATCTCCATCGCTTACTGATTCATCTTTGGTCTTCAAAAGTTTCAACATGGAGAAGATTATAACACCGAGAAGACTTGATCTTCCTCTGTTACAGTTCCCGAGATCTCTGAAACTCAATTTGATACCTTCTCCGAGCTTAAATCGCTATGTTCGCCATAAGAAACGGCCTTGTTCGAGCCGTCTAGGGTTCAAAACAGAGATCTGTACTGAAACAGAGAACCATGGTGTGAAAATGAACAATACCGTGGGGAAGAAGTTACTCGGTTTAGCCGCCGCTGCTGTAGTAACGGTCTCTTCTTCGATCTGCTGCGATTCTCCAGCTCTCGCTGAGTCTCTGACCATAGCTTTCCCTGTTTCACGCGCTCGTGAGGTGATCAAGTTTTTGTTTTTAATTACGAAAGCAGAGTACTCTGTTTTTAACGTCTCTGTTCTTGATGTCTTGTTAAGGTGACTGCAGTGCAGAGAACTCTTGTGGAAGCTTGGGGTTTGATTAGGGAAACATTTGTGGATCCAACTTTCAATCATCAGGGTAATGTTTTTCAGATTTTGGTTATTGATTTTGTGGAATGAATCTGAGGGGAAATTTATAAGTTCTGCAGATTGGGATTCTAAGTTGCAGCAAACAATGGTGGAGATGTTTCCTTTAAGATCAGCAGATGCTGCTTATGGAAAGATCAAAACTATGCTCTCTACTCTTGGTGATCCTTTTACTCGGATCATTAGCCCAAAGGTTATGATTCATCCATGAATGTGTTTCTTTGAAGTTGGTTTTGCATTTTAAGACACATGTTGTGACCTTGCAGGAGTACCAAAGTTTCAGGATTGGTAGTGATGGGAATCTGCAAGGTGTTGGTCTTTTCATAAACTCAGAACCAAAAACAGGTCACCTGGTTAGTAACAAAACACATCTTGATGATACCAAAGTAGCATGAAGTATAGATAGATGTTTGTTTCATGGTAGAGATCAATGTAGGTTGTTATGTCTTGCGTAGAAGGTAGCCCGGCAGATCGTGCTGGTATACATGAAGGCGATGAATTGGTTGAGATTAATGGTAACATTCTTCATTGGTCATTGTCCTTACCAACTTTTAAAATTGGCTATGACTATGTTGTTTCTTTGTGATTGTTTCAGGCCAGAAACTGGATGGTTTAGATAGTGAAGCTGCAGCTCAGAAGCTGAGAGGCAGAGTTGGAACATCCGTAACAGTCAAACTTAAGAGTGTATGTGCTATGTCTCTTTGTTAGAAACTTTGACATCAAGTTAGGTAAAGTTATTGTCCTCTCTTGCAGATGGGTGGCTCAGAGATGAATTCACAAATCAGAGAGGTATAATTATCAGTTTTTATGTTTATTTTTTGGAGGTAGTTTACTCACTAGTAGTCTCTTCTATGCGTAAAGGTCAAGTTACCTCGAGATTACATTAAGCTCTCTCCAATATCAAGCACTATAATCCCACATACAACACCTGATGGACGTTTAGCAAAGACCGGTTATGTCAAACTCACAGCGTTTTCTCAGGTTAGTGTTTGTGTAAAACTAAAAACAAAATAAGATGATAATTGAATAATAACCTTCCAATAGACTGCAGCTTCAGATATGGAACATGCGGTTCACGAGATGGAGAATCAAAATGTTCAATCATATATTCTAGACCTAAGGAACAATCCTGTAAGTTTCAGGTTTTGTTTTTTTGCAGTGAGATTACATTTTCCCTGACACTTACTTTCTACATTTCTATTTCAGGGAGGTTTGGTTAAAGCAGGACTTGATGTTGCACAGTTATGGCTTGACGGAGATGAGACTCTTGTCTACACAATCGACCGTGAAGGAGTCACATCACCAATCAATATGATTGATGGACACGCCGTTACACATGATCCACTTGTCGTGCTTGTAAGTTTAAACAGAGTTCGGTTTGTATGTCAACTCCTAATTAACATGACCGGTCCATAAGTGTCTATAGATCAAATGGTGAAAACAGGTGAATGAAGGAAGTGCAAGTGCAAGTGAGATTTTAGCAGGTGCGTTACACGATAACTGTCGAGCTGTACTTGTTGGTCGACGCACTTATGGGAAAGGGAAGATCCAGGTACATACATTAGTTAGCTTTATAAAATAATATATAACTAGATTTTGACCCGGTATTTCTTTCTTTTAAAAATTTTGATCAAATTTTGTTAATTATAAGACTATGTATTTTTTATAAGATAAATTTCTAATATCTTTAACTTTAGAGTTTTGTTGATTTTTTATGCTTCTAAAATATATGTATGTTGGACATTATATAGACGATGTATTTGTACTCATAGAAAATTTTTATGACCTTAAAAATTACAAAATTATGTAATTTAGTTGTTATTAGCAACTTTTCTTGTATTAATTTGTTTTTTTTTGGATATATTATTAATGTTTTAAAGTTGATTTATAAAGTATAAACTTTTTTAAAAATGGAGCTTTTTAATGGATATTGATCTTATGATATGATTTTTACGTATGTTTTGGGGATGTTGCAAGAGTGTAACGGAGCTAGACGACGGGTCGGCTTTGTTTGTGACGGTGGCTAAGTACTTGTCGCCTTCTCTACACGAAATAGATCAAGTAGGGATCACACCTGATGTTCAGTGTACAACAGATAAGATTGATTCGTTGACCGGTGAGATACTTATGAAGATGAAAAGTTCGGTTCCGTTGCTTGAGGCAGATTCGTGTGTTATGGTCGCTGAGCATGAACTTGAGACTCGACGATCCAATGGGACAGCTTCTTGATGGGGTTTATCGTTAAATATTTGGGACATGATTATGGTGTGGCTTGTATATACTGATAGTTCCACTAGAGATTACTTTTTGTAGTATTACATTGTATTGGTAATGTAATAGTTAAATAGTTTATTTATTTATATAAGTTTCGAGATTTCAGATTAAATCATGATGATATATTAAGCTAGATGGTTTCCAACTTAAAACCAATTGGTGATAAATGGAGTGGCCCATCTATATTATATATTGCTAGAGATCCCTTCCAACAACCGATATGGGACCTTTGTCCCTAAACGCCCCCTCGAGATGATGGCTCTTTGGCATCAATCTCGGAATGTTCAGGCAAGGATCAATGGGCCGACTTTGGGCTGGATCGATAAGGATCAGGTTGGATTGCGTGGATCGTGGGCTCTGATACCATATTAAGCTAGATGGGTTTCCAACTTAAAACCAGTCCATCTATATTATATATTGCTAGAGATCCCTTACAACAACCGATGTGGGACTTTTGTCCCTAATACTATATATCATATATATTTTTTTTTAAACGCTGATTTATTATAATAATACAATTATGAGAAAGATTATAGAGGTAACATTTCGAGTTTGTTAATATTGAAAACAACAATTTCCTAATCATGATAAGATTTTGTCTAGCTAAACTCAAATTAATCCTTTGATGATGAATAAAAGAATTTTGCATTTCCTATTTTTTCTCTTTACTAAAATTGTAGCTCATATTCATTTAACAAGAAAAATATTAACAGAAATGCTCAAATAAATTTGAGCCACATGTTGCAACTATTCTTACCGTAATTCTAGTCCTATTAATCGGTAATTAGTTAATTTTGACTATCGTTTAAAAAATAATCCTGATTTTACTTAAAATAGCACAAGTTCCACACATATAAATCCCCCATCAACGCCATCCATTTTCCTCAGACCTGCAAGAACTTCTAAAAACTCAATAAAACAAAAAAGAAAAAAGACTTTCAGGTCTCAAAAAAACAAATGGAGATGAAGAAGATCGCTTGCGGTGTACTTTTCGCTGCTGCCTCAATGACCGCCGTCATGGCTGTGGAAGAAGCCGGAGCTCCGGCACCAGGACCCGCATCCGCCGCCTCGGCTGCATTGCCCGCTCTTGGCTCTATCGTTGGGGCTTCCCTTGTGTCCCTCTTCAGCTACTACTTGCACTAAGTTATATCTTCGTAATACTATTTATGTGGTCTTTAATTTATTCATTTTCTTACCAATTTCCATTTCATTTGTTTATTAATAAAACTGAGAAAACTTTCTCTTCTTAAATTTTTGATATGTGGTTGGTATCATGAGTTTTGAATCTTGTTTCCCCCTCCTGATAAGAATAAAATTGGCCACATCATAGAACCTTTCTATATCGAATAGAAAAGACCAACATGTATAGTATAAGAGGAGGAGAAACGATCCAGGATGCCTAAAATCCATTCCAATAATTTCACCAATACATAAAATTCATTAATTACAAAATGTTTAAAATGAGATCAATCTAATAATATACAATTAACTTCCCCTTCATATACTAGAATGGAGTACACATATTAATACACATATAGGCAAGCTATTTTGGGTGTGACATTATATATTTCCAAGGCGTCACACTCAACAAGCAAATGCCACATATGCACGACGTATTTACGATTTTGCGGTATCACTGCCCTTATTAGTAAAATTCATTTTCCTTATAAATGTGTAATACGGTAGTGGAGATTACGGTTAACCGTGAATGGCCCATCAAGTTTGTACTATATTTGAACTCTATAGGCAGGCTAAGCATTTAATGTACAAAGTCAAAATGAAAGAAAGAAGAGCCAAGAAAAAAAATCAACAGAATAAAACTGATAAGGCTAGAGCATGTCACAGCAAGAGCAATCGAGTGTTAGCAGCTACAGAGAGGTGGAAACAGAGATATTCAGTGTCGTTCTCTTTTTATGTGCCCATGCGAGATCTTCCACTTTATCAACCTCCTCTTTATTTGCAAGACAGCTCTTTTCGTGGGTTGTTAAATTGCTTTTAGCATAAAACTTGTGACCACATACGCAAAGGGCATCTGGTCGATGGTAGAGTATCTCTCGACTTGGTTTAATTTTACCATGGAAAGTCTGCACAAAACAAAACTTAGAAGAAGTCGCAGGTAAAAGTTGTCAGCATCGAATAGGAAAGATAATGCCACACGAATCATGCCACACGAATCTGTCTCCGAAAATAATTTTAGTAGCTAAACAACTCAAGCGGGTTAATAAATCATTTACATAAAAGAACAAAAAAATAAATCATTTGTTCTGTTATAGCCATTACACAACTTTTGTTACATTAATTTTCCTAAACTATATAATGTAGCCAAGTAACAATCTATCATTTGAAAACTGAGGGAATTAATTATTAATAATAAAATAAATAGAAGAAAAAAACACTGAGAGAAAATAGGTAGTGAATATATCACTACATACATTCATTCAATAGCAACCAGTCTTCAACTAAATAGTCATCAAGCTTGGAATAAAAGAAATGGCTTGATCCAGATACTTAGGTATGCAGACTATAGGAAAAATAAAATCTACTTCAGTATCTTCTACCAATAATAGAACTTCTTTGTCAAGCGATTGCCAAAGAATTAGCATTCGTGTTTTGTCGAAAATTGCGACCAGTGATAGTGGAACACCAGAGTATTCTCCAAAAGCAGTATTGCTTAAATCTAGACTGTAAGTCTTCTCCCATGCCATGTCGTCTGATTTCAGTGACCATATATCCTGAACGCCGTTGATTTTCATTGCTGATACGCAAACACGATTATTCAGACTGCACATGATAATGCGATATTGTGGCCATGCATAGTCAATCGGAATTTTCATTATTTGAAAAAACTCTGCGTGAAGATCGAAACATATCATCTTTGTTTCTTTATTATTAATCTGTGTAGTCAACCAATAAAGTGATCCATCTGAATATACCGGATGAGATTTGAAATCATGATCACATATCCGGTGTCGAGACCCAATCACATGTCTCCAACCATTAGTTGCAAAATCAAAAACCTCGCATGTAGTTTGACCATCTAGGTTCTCAAAAGAGTTATATAACCATACCATCTTGTAGTTGCTCGTAAGAGTGTCTTTGCCAAACCCTAGAAAGTATCGTGTGGATTTACCTACGAGAAAAAAGAAAAGAAGATTAAACGAATCAATAGCAGTAAATTAAATTATATAGACTATGTGAGCAATGAGACTTTACAATTTAGATTTTCTCTAACGCAGTTAATTTTTTGAATCTTAGCTCGAGGAAGAAATCGGCACCATCTAGTAGCTGGATTGAAGACATACAACACTTTTTTAAAATCGTAGATGCAAACAAGACCATCACAGCTTCCAGTAACTACAAGACTTCTTGTTTTGGGTTTAGCGAGATAGTTGACATCTGTCAATGAACCAGAATGTGATCCCAAAGTACGTAAACAAGGATAAGGTTTTGATTCATGGACAAGTTCACCGCCTAGAAGGATATCAGGATTAGGTGACTTCACTCTGGCTAGATGTCTCGATGCAAAGTAACGAGATTTGATCGTTGAGTTCCATTGCTTACAAACACAAGTGAATCTTATAATCGGTTTTATCTCAAGTCTATGTAAGATGTCTTCTACAAGAACATGTGGTAGCCGTTCCACCACCTCTATTGCCTCTCTCTTTCTCTTTTCTTTCATTTATTAGGGCTTTCTTCTTTCTTTTTTTTGACAACTATTAGGGCTTTCTTCTTTTTAGCTTGTATTTATAATTAAAATATATGTTCTTATCGTATGCGTCAATTTAGGTATTATTGTTTCCTAAACCATATCGACTTTGCTCATTAAATAAAAATATATATAACATTTTTTATGGATTTCCGTTCTTCGAATTGCAAATTTTAAATATTTCTTCTGTGTATTGCAGTTACGTGTGCACTAGAGGAAAAAGGTAACTATCCACGTTTCTTTTTATTGCTATGTTTAAATTGACCATAAGAATTTAATCCATATTTAAAAAAAAAATTCCATTTTTTACTTGGTTTATTTGATCGTCTTTCATGGAATTTGAACATTTTCACTCATAAGTTAAATGATAATTAGACCCAAAAAAAAAGAGTTAAATGATAATACTCTTCTAGTTGAGTAGTAGCACAGCCATATTTTAAATTGGGTTCTAACTACATAGTGGAAATCTGGTAAGAGTAAGAAATAATCATCAGATAATATCTTTCTACTAATTGTATAGTTATTCAGCTTAGCCGTCCCATTCTTATCCAGAAAAACATTCATTGTCTTTTATGTTTCTGTGCATAATGATTCTAGGGAAAGCCGTGTGAAGATAAGTTACAGCAAGCACAACCTCTTTAACAATCTTTAACAATTTTTAACAATCATTAAAGACTTCCTCGAATGTTACACTTACACATTCTAATCTCTCCTCTCCTTCTTCTTCCTTCTTCCTTCTCTAGAATTCCATTGCCGAATGATGATTGAAATCTCTGAAGATAAGAGAGAGAGACGATCTTACAAGAAAGAAGTGATGATGCCTCAGATTACAAGATCTTCTTGTGAAGGAAGGGACACTAGGAAGAAACAAGGAAAGAGAGAAGCCAAAAGACAAGTAAAGTCACTTGAGTTGACTCTGGTTTATCTGTAGGACCATCATTAATGTTTTTTAGGCATAGAAGATGGCCTACAAGGTAATTCTTTGTGAGTATGCAGAGAAAAGACTTCCTCCCCTTTGACCTTAGTTGCTGTGGTTGCTCATCCGAGCAGACAAGACTACGTCATTTTAAATCTCTTTGGTTCTGTCTTCGATGTCTTGGGTTTTGGGCCCTTTTAAGTATTTAACGAAGTCAAACATATGTTTAGAGTTCCTCTGTTTCTACTATAGTTTCTACACTTGTATTACATTTCTTGGACCATATGTAGCTAAGTAACAAATCTTTACATATTATGGAACCTCACATTCTTAATATAAGAGATATCGTGGAGAATCTTGAAAATCAAGAACATCTACTGATATTTCACTAGTCGCTACTTTAATGATAATACAAGGATTGTTTATATATAGTCCATAAACAGATGTAACAAAAGTTGTGTAGGGGCTATATCAGAACAGAGGATCTCTTAAAAAAATTGAGGTCTCAACCCGCTTGAGTTATTTCTTTAGCTACATATGGATCATCTTTGGTCTGTCTTCATCCCTCTCCTCGTAGCATCTCAATGGAAGTAAAACACCTACTTACACCTGCAATCTCTGAGCACTTGTAATGTCACTCATCATCATTAGGATCAATAACTTTCACCGAGCTTCCTAACTTCATATAAGCCTTTCACATATTCAAGAATACCTACTGGATATCCATCAGATACTGTAAAATAAACCGTTCCACCACTGATGAGAAGAAACAAAGCTACAAACATCAACAAACTCTGTAACAATACGCGTACGGAGACAAAAAAGGAACCAAATATCACTTGATCTTCCATTTGAGACTTCCCCTCAGGAAGAGTTAGAGCAAGGGAGAAATCAGACAGCTTTAGCTGTCCAAGAAAACATTCATGGGAAGTTATGTTTTTGTGTACAATGATCCTAGGGAACTCTGTGTTTAAGTAAGTAAACGCATTGGCTATCTCTTTTGCCACCTACTTTCTTCCATTCCAAGACAAGAACTCTGTATCCTTGAAAACATTCATGGGAGCTATGTTTCAGCGTACAAACCAAAACACTAACCGAAAAACTAAAGTACCAACCAGGTTATAATAGTAGACTGGTTTTTAAGAAAATAACTTGATAACAAAGTAAGAGAAAAGGATAGTAAAGACAAAGCTTGTGACAATCACGTAAGGACTGAGATAACACTTGGTGTCGCGGTGACTCGTGGACTTTGAGGTTTGGATACGGTTTGATATCTCGTTGCTGTCAGAGGCAATGAGTTGCTGATGGGACCCATTTTCATGCATCTCAGAACAATCAGATGATCTTTTTTCTATGAGCTTAATCTCTTTTGCCACCATGATCATCTTTGGCCTGTTTTCACTCTTCTCCTCGCAGCATCTCAATGCCAGGTCAAGAAACATCTTCATCTGACCAGGATTCATGTCGTCTGAATCACACCCGAATTCAACAGGTTCCCCTCTCTTATGCAGATCCCTCACTTTTATAAGAAAATCCCAATTTGGTATACCTGTATTTGGTGATTCTCCCGTCAGAAGAACCAGCATAAGGATTCCAAAACTGTACACATCTGTATATTCTGTCACTACGTTCGTCTTGACGTAACTCGGATCTACGTATCCGAGAGTTCCAACCACAATCTTTTCAAGAATCCATGATTTACCCTCGGGGAGTGCTACAGCACGTGTGAGATCAGTGAGCTTGGCCTTCCCATTCTTATCCAAGAAAACATTCTCTACTTTTATATTTCTATGTATTATGATTCTAGGGAAAGCCATGTGGAGATAAGTTATAGCAATCGCAACCTCTTTCGCAATCTTTAGACGTGCATTCCATGGCAACAACGGGGCGTCCAAGTAGCAGCCAACACTTCCTCTATCGTTCAAAACTCTACATTCTAGGTCTTCAAACACCAACACTGGAAGAAGAAAATCGAGACAACAACCTATGAGTTTGAGGAAACCACTGTGATTACTTACCCGAGCTGACAAGGCAATGTCGTTGTAAGCCCTCTCGTCTTTTAGATACAATCGCTCTGTATATCTTTTGATCAAGTAAGGTCTGCCTTCGATGTCGCCCTTGTGCCAGGAGAAGCATGCATGTAAATCGTTAAGAAGATAACACTTGCGATCGAAGTGACTCGTCGCCATGGAGACTTGATTGGAAGAGAACATTCGAATAGGGTTTGATATGCCGTTGCAGTCGACAATGAGTTGCTGAAGAAACTTGCTCCCATTCCTGAGGATGCGATTCTCCACTTTGCTCTTCTCCTTCTCCTTCTCCTTCTCCTTTTCCTTTTCCTTTTCTTTCTTCTCCACAATTCCATCTCTCGGTGATTATGCAAACCCCTGATGACCACCTTGCAGTGGATTTGTTCTTTTCATGTAAAAGTCAAAAGTCTTTCTTTATTTTTATTTGATGAAAAGTCCCGCCCAACCAACCCACTAGGGGAAATTTTTAAAATGAAAAGAAAAGAAAAAGTAATCCTCGACTTTGAATAATCAAAATACGAAATATATTATTTATATTTATTTATTTTCTTTTTGACATGTGTGTGCCGACAAAACTTAATCATCCAACTGTTCTTTTCCATGGTTATCTTTTCATAACAGATGGTGCTGATCAGTGATCAGAAGATGGATTGTTTGATGAACAAGTCAAAGAAAAACTAGCAAGTCAGCGGCTATGATCGTTTTAAGAGAACGGGAATGTGCACGTGCTCTTACAAGATCTCATCTCGCATTGTAATGGCAAATCCAATCCAATCCGATCAAGAACTTTCTGTGCTAACCAAATCATGGAAGCCACCAACAACTTCAGCAACAGCAATGCCACCTTAGGTTCAAGTACCACATAGGCAATACTAAGGCAAAAATTGAACTATTGACTTGGTGGGTTGAGCCTAAAATATCCAACCGTGGGAACAGAATCGATATGTAAATTTAGTGGTAAATTTTGTAAATTTAAATCCGTGAGAGTGAAACTAAATAAATTTGCGAAGTTCACGACACTCTTGGGTTCTAGGTTAAACTGACCTAATATTGGACAATAAATTTGGCGGGTTGAGCCAGGCCCGTGCAATAGTGCACTTTCTCCTCAGCATACATCTTGATCATGTAAGATCTATCTTTAAGAACCAATGAACCAGGTGTAGTAAAGGCCACTCGTGACATAGCGGCCTGGATCAAATCCATTTGTGGCTTTAATGAGCTCTTTGAGAAAAAGTACTTCAGTGTCCAAGAACCACTGTTTCCTCCAGAACTTCATGTTAAATGCTTTTGCAGTCTTGAAATGATAATCGCAGTCAAAGTTGCCTCTTAGTGAAGATAATGTTGAATTTGAGGCTACAAAGCTTCAGACAGTCAACTTTCTTCAGTCAGCAAGTTTGAAAACTCACTCTTTTTTGCACATGGATAGGAGTTTTAATGATCAACACAAAACTTTGAGATCTATGCCAAGAGCCTTACTTACTCCTTAGGTTCTGCCTGGTTTCAGAACCTAAAGACTAATTAATTTACTCTTTGAAGTCTTTTATGAATCAAAATGAAGTTTTGCACCAAACATATACAATAAAAGGTAAAGAATTCAGCAGAATACACACAACCGCTAGTATGAGGAGCAGCATATTGTGAATTCTTAAATCTGACCATCTTCAGACCCATTTTCTATGAGCTTAAGCTCTTTTGCCACCACAATCATCTTTGGCCTATCTTCATTTCTCTTCTCACAGCATCTCAGTGCCAGCTCAAGAAACATTTTCATCTGACAAGGCCTCATATCCTTGGAATCACCCCCGAACACAACAGGTTCTCCTCTCTCCTGCAGATCCTTCACACATTCAAGAATCTTAAAATCCCATCGACCAATTGATCCTTTCAACATTGGTGGTCTTCCCATGACAAGAACCAACATAAAGATTCCAAAACTGAACACATCCGAATATTCTGTCAACAGGTTTGTAAAGAAATAAGTAGGATCCGTGTATCCGTTTGTTCCAACCACCGAATCTTCAATACATGATTCACCCTCAGGGAGTGTTATTGCACTCGACAAATCAGTGAGCTTAGCCTTCCCATTCTTATCCAAGAAAACATTACTTGCCTTTATATCTCTGTGTATAATGATTCTAGAGAAAGCCGTGTGAAGATAAGTTATAGCAACCGCAACTTCCTTAGCGATCTTTAAACGTGCGTTCCACGGCAACAACGGCGCGTCCATGCTGCCAAGACTTCCTCTCTCGTTCAAAACTGTATAGTCTAGGTCTTCAAAGACCAACACCGGACAAGGAGATTCGAGACAACAACCGATGAGTTTGGGGAAACCACTGTGATTACTTACACGAGCAGACAAGACAATGTCGTTGTAAGCTGTCTGGTCTTCTTTTCGATACCATGGCTCTGAATATCTCTTGATCGTGTAAGGTCTGCCTTCGATGATGTCGCCCTTGTACCAGGTGAAGTATATATCGATTTCTTCGTCGAGAGAACACTCTGGATGGAAGTGATCTGTGGCCTTGGAGATTTGATCGGAAGAAAACATTCTGATGGGAATTGATATGCCGTTGCAGTCAGCTATGAGTTTCTGAAGAAATGTGCTCCCATTCCTGAGGAAGCAATTCCTTGCCAGGCTATTCTCCTTCTCCTTCTTCTTTTCCTTCACCTTCTTTCTCCAGAATTCCATCGCTGAGTGATGAATGAGGCCTCAGATAGTCAGATTGCAATCTCTGCAGATGAGAGAGAGACTTATACGAATCATATTATTTTATAATTCTTTTATTTTTCCTTTTGACTCAAGTGTGTTCAGACAGGACTTTATCTTTGAACCATCCTCATTTTTTCTCCGTAAGTTCTTTTTATTTTTATACTCATTTTTATTAATGGTAGATCAAATCCAATCAAGACTTTCTCTGCCAACCAAATCATCCAAGCCACCAGCAACTTCAACGAGACCAACCACTTGTTTCGCTACGAGTTTATATACAAAGGAACTCTCGAAAACCGTATTGTCCTAATCAAGAGAGCTACATGGTACATATACACACCCGATACATTAGCAAAGATCTGTCGTGACATAGCTGTCTCATCGATGGTAAGTGGTCACAAGAACTTTCTCAAACTGTTAGGATGCTGTCTTGAGTTTGAGTATCCTGTGTTAGTATGTGAGTATGCAGAACGTATACCTTACAATAATACTCCAAACTTGGGAATGTTAATCAAGATGGCAAAAGAGATTGCTGTTGCTGTTTCTTATCTTCACACTGCGTTTCCAAGGACTATGGTTCATATGGATATACAACCTTCTAACATTTTCTTGGATTCTAACGGGACTGCAAAGCTAAGTGGGTTTTGTCTCTCTGTCTCTATCCCGGAAGGAGAGACGTTTGTTAAGGTAGATGCTGATAGAGTAGAAGGAGTTTTGGATTATTTAGAGTATAAGTATGTGACGAGTGGTGTAGTGAATGAGAATACAGATGTTTTTAGTTTTGGAGTGTTGTTGCAAAATCTCTTGATTGGAAAGTATGGAGAGGTTGATCGTTGTCAGGGTGATGAGAGTTTGTTTGAACACGAGCATAGTGTGATGAACTTGAGGTTTCAGATAGAGTGTGCAAGTTTGTGGAAGAGGGAAGAGTCTTTGAGATATTGGATCCACAAATTTTGGAAAATATGAGTGATGATGATGAAAACAGAGAACAAGAGAGAAGGAGAATGCAAGCAGTTATAGTACTCTCACTCAAATGTACAGGGCATAGAGGTGATGTTCCAAAGATGGTGGAAGTGGCAAAAGAACTACAAAGGATTGAGCTATGGATGTTGTAAACTTTATTTAATCAAAGTTTGTAATAACTAAAAATGTTATTCCATACAGTGTGAGTCTTAGTTCAATATTGTAAACTCTCTTCCTCCAATTTTATTTCTCTTGTATTAGGCCTCCTTGAGGTTCTTGAGGGTTGTTGTCGTTTCTATTTTGTATAAACGTTCAAGAAACATTAGTTTCTTCTCATCTGAATCTCAGACTGTAATAATAACACTCTTGTTTGAAGTAGCACATACATATTCTAAATGACTACATTGTGGAAATCTGGTACAAAAAAAATAAGAATAATCATATACCAGTTTTGTCTCTCTGAATCGAATAACTGATATAGCTTCTCAACAGGTAGCTAATTCTTATATATATATCTATAATTTTTATATATATGGAGAGTGAGAAAAGCTTATATATACACATTCATAATCTACTGCTTTCTCTCACCAAACTCACATCTCCATTTTGACTTGGTTTGGGTGCAAACTAGAAGAACCCACCATCAAATTTTCAGAACCAACCATTAAACTGTTGTGTTCATTGCCATGACTTTGATCTTCTTCTCTTCCCCAAGCCGGCTGGCTCAAGCCATCATAAGGCCATTGTTGTTGCGGTGGTGGTGGTTGTTGCAGTTGCCGGTGATGAAATGATTGTTCAGTCTCAGTGACTTGATGAGGCCAAGGAAGATGCATTGCTGTACCATTAAAGCTCCCATCCATTAAAGAACCATTCTGTGAAAAAACAAGAAAAGATATCAGCTCAGGGGATCATTCATTCATAGAGATCTTGATCTTAGTCAAAAGAAAGTCAACAGTTGCTGCTGTGTTATTATTATCCTAAAAAGGAACAATGCATAATGAGAGGGACCCCTGGCTATTTATTGGGTATGTACAAGCTGTAAGAAGAAACAGAGAGAGAGCATTTATTAACCTTGGTCCAAAAGAGTAAGATTAAAGTCTTCTATTGTAGATAGAATCCACAGGTGTTTGATTATGAGATTAGATAGGTGAAAAAGAAACAAGATGTTGGAAGAGACCTATAGATTATAATTGAGGAATCAAATAGTTTTTTTCTTCTTTCAAATCATCAAAGCTCATCAATATACAAACACATCTGACATGTCACAGTGTCCGAGTTTTTGACCCACTAAAGCTGTTTGTGTATACTGTAATTTTGCAAGGTGTGTGTGTTGACTAGACGTTGATCTTCCTTTACTTTGCTCTAAAATGATCTAAATTAATGTTTGTATCAATAAATACTCAAAAGTTTTCTCTTTATGATATAAACTAGAAGCTTCTCAAAAGAGGTATATAGTTTCCTATGATTTACTCAAATGAGAAACGCATGCAGTGAATAAACAAAAGGATCTAAGCACTGTGTGAGATTAGAAGATACTTACTTCTGAAGCCAATATGGTGTCAAGATTAAAGTCGATTCTTGGGTTTACTGCAGCAAGTCTCATTGATAGCATCTGTGGAAAAAAAAACAAGTAAAAAACTATGATGAGACACTATGGCACACAGTTCTATTTACATCCAAACTGTTTTGACTTGACATTTTTTGGCTGTGTCCTTTAAAGGAGATAGTACAATAATATATAGGTATAAAGAACAAAACTGGAACACGGAAAGTTCTCACCTCCACTTGACGTTGTAAAGATTGGACATGGTTAATTATTTCATCTAGCACCAACGCAGTACCTTGAATCTGCAGGACAAAGACTTTATGATCAGCTTAGGTGTGTGTACACATTAGCTTTTCCTTCCTATGCAGCTACTATGTCTTAAAGGTTATTCAATATTTCAAAGAGAGTATAAATCTAAATGGCATCTCCAATCACAATCAAACTAGTACTCTAGTGTTTAATGGAACAATCAATCAATCAAGTCATAACAGCTCACAAATAAAAATTACAAGAGGTGATGTTAGCATAACATCATCAGCTCCACCAATCTCACCAATAATTGCTGCTAACATCTACTGATTTTAAATTAGTTGTCTGAGGGAGGAGTGTCCACATCCATGTTTCCAACTAATTAGGTAAGTGGGACTCAAAAAAAAAAACAATCTTATAAAGGATCTTTTGCTTTAATCGTCCTTCTAAGAGTCATTGTCTCTTTTTCCTTGATAGATACCCAACGTCTTAGAGACGATACTACCCCCTTTCCCCTCCCCACCACCTTCCCATAGGAAGCTTGCAACTTTCTCTTCCCACTTATCAATGGACCCCAACACACACACACACACTTTGATCTTGATCTTTCCACCAAGATATGTCCCCTAAACCCAAAACCTTAATGGCACATTACAGCTAGCATCACCCCCACTTTCATACACTAATCAATCAAACTCAATGAACACAACACTTTGAGAAGAGGAAAAAAGAATTCGATTAAAAAAAGCCATTTCCCATCACTTCCCTGTGACTAGTTTAACCTTAAAGCTAAATAGTGTAGTACCCTTTCAGATCTTTAAAGCCACTTTGCCACACCAGAAACCACTTTTAAGTACTCAACTTTTTGGGTTGATTAATTAACAAAAAAGAAAGCTAAATTATCAAAAACTATACAATATTATTACTTTTTAGAGTGAATCTATTAAGGAAAATATATTCTGTCGTTAAGCACAAATCAAGACCAAATGATTAATTAGCATGAGCCATTATCATAGAGACAAACCTTATCACAGCCTGGGACCAGTTCCTGTAGCAACTTCATTCTTGCATTAATCTTCTCCCTTCTTGCCTATAATCCAAAAAAATTAGTAATTAATTAAGAAGACTAATCAACTGTGAGAAGCTAAAGTACTTACTCGTTCTGCTAAGCTATGACTATCTGTTGCTTGACCACGCCGAGCTCTAACATGAACATAAGGCAGCTTCTCATTCTCTTCAGAGCTTTTGCTCTTCTTCTTCGCCGAGCTTTTCACCTGGACACGTGTCAAAGATTCATCATTCCCTGTCTTAAATCGAATGTTAACTAAAAAAACATAACTTGTGTGTTGTGTCTCTCTCTCACCTTCTTGTCGACTTCTTTCCTCTTGCCACATCGATTGTTCGGAGGGCTCAAACGCTGAGATGAATCCGTCTCACACGGCTCGGTCTTGACTCTCTCCGAGCTCGTCGTCGTCGTCGTAGTCTCACCGGAGACGTTTCCGTTAGCAATCACAGAGAACCGAGCTGCTCGCTCCAAGAGAGCTGAGTTAGAAGGAAACGTCAATGCTCCGTAACCGTGAAGAAGCTGCGGCGGCGGTGGAGAGACGTCTAAACCGATTCCGGCGACGGCCGCCGCCGGAGCTTGAGGAGAAGGGTCAGTGAAATGAAGAAGCTCAACTGCTTGTGTCGGTGGAAGCTCAAGCAACGCCGTGAATCCACCGTCGCCGCCGCCGCCGCCGAGATGAAGTGATTCGAGACCCGGCGGTTCCCGGCACGGTCCAGCTCCGGTCAGATCCATAAACGGTGGAATCTAAAGGAAGCCCTTTTGAGGAGAGAGAGAAAGAGAGAGACTTTGAGATAAAGATTTGATTTTTTTTTTTGGTTTTGTCTTGAAGTGAGCGTATCACGGCGAAGTAAGATGCATCAATGGCGGTCAAAGAGTTTGACTTTGGAATCCACTCTTTTTCTTTCTCTCTCTCTCTCTTACAGAACTTTCTGAAGAAGGTATTGTTGTTGTTTTTTTTTTTGTTGTAAGAGAGAGTCTTGTTTCTCTGTCTTGTCTGAGAGAAATAAAAAGGGAGAAGCTTTACTCCATAGCTATTTGAAGTAGGACGAAAGCAACGTTAGCTTGTGGTGTAGAGTGCGTTGGTTAGATAAATAGAGAGAGAAAGATGATAAAAAAATAAAACTTATTTACTGGATCCCGATGGATATTAGTTGGGCCTATTTGGGCTTTAGTATTTTTTCACTGTTTTTTTTTGTCTAAATATTTTTTCACTGATTATTCTCTAACTTTTTAATTGTTTAATGTTTTTACGCAAAAATTAAGAAAATACCATTTTTTGTAGTTTATCTTAGTTACATAAAAATAATATTAGATAAATTTAGTTTAACCAATTAAAAAATATAATATTATGTAATTTATTATAAATTTTAAATGATATTAAATTTTATATAAAATGTAAGAACATCACTTACTATGGAATAAAAATAATAAATTTTAAACACCAATTGAAGTGATATGGAGGTAGTAACATTTAGTAATTATTGTAAATAATAGGAGTAGCGGATAACAGCAATTATTTAATCCAATTGGTAGATTTGATTTATGCTGCCGCAGGACCAGCCTGCTGTTGTCTCTGACGTCTCTTTCTTTATTCAAATATATAAAATAAGTTGGAAAATAAAATCAATAATGAGGTCGTATAATATTATTATTATTCATCTGCAGTTAATGACATAGATGGGGTTTATATTCTGACTTTTCACGGACCCCTATTTTCGGTAATGTTATAAAACTTTTCAATAGCATTGTTGACTTGTTAAGCTGGGAAAATAATTTTACAGTAATAAAGTCTAACTGCTTTTAGCATATAGGCCTGGTTAAAATTGAAATTAACTCAGCCGTTGGATCATGGATGATTACCGCGATAATAGGTGGGTCCCTTTCGAGACTCGCGGCTTAGTGGGCTGAACATAAAATCAACTTCTGCTTATTCAGTTGAGCCCAATTCCAAATTACATTTCGTTGCAACATGTTTCGCTTATACTTTATTAGTCTACTTTTGATTTAACACAAGTCAACTTATTTTTTGAGTAACTTACTTTTTTACTATTCTTCACAATTTGTATATAATTCTATACCCTTGTGTATGTTGATTTTATAAGAAGAGAAATTTCATATGAAACCCTTATATGGTAAATTTTATAAGGAGAGAAATCGAATATTTTGAAGCTAGAGAATTGGTAACAATTTTAAATCGGTTTCATCACCTCTTGGTGCGTAAGGTTTGGTGGAATAGTAAAGTCTCAATCAAAGAGGGAAGGTACATATATACACTCATTTTTGGCATGTCCAATTTGGCAACGTTACTTACTCTCCCAACGTCCATTGCCTCTTTGGAGTTCAAAATTGATGTGTAGAGCTCGAAGCATACTAATTACGTAGTGTACTGTTATACATACACATTCACATTATATTATGTATTTGGAAGATATTGAAGTATACAACATTTTACTATTTTTTCACAAAAAGAAATCAGAGACTACAGGAAAACTTCGAGGATGTGAGTCTATCTTATAATGGTCGAGCTGATACATTAGCCAAAGATGCAAGGAGGAAATGATTTACATTTTTCCATATAGATCAGACCAGGCCAGACAGAGGTGCTCCTCGGAGGATCGACTTGTCTGTTCACCACTTGATCTAGTTTTTTAGATGGGCAACCGACAAAAAAAAAAAATCACTTTTCTATTTTTAGATAATTGAATATCAGTTGTCAACCAAATATAAACTATTCTAAAGAGATAAAACGAAATATTTCTCAAAACATGATAGTCCATATGTATAGTATGCAACGTTTATTTATCAAATATAAGTTCAAGACAGTTTAAGCTGATTTTTTATTTCATAGTATCATAGCAGAGACTTTTATCACACAAAAAAAAAGAAGTATTTATCTAATACTACGTACTGAAAAAGCTTGCAAGATCATTTGCGTAACTCTCTTTAACAGATCACAAGATGATAATATACACATTGAAAATTCAGAGTTTAGCATCCTTTACCAAATTAAGCTTACGGACTTTTGGTTGGGAATGTGAAGTGTATAACTTAAGCATACAGCATATTAATGTTCGGTGCGTTTACAGATTTTGAAGAACTTATTACTTATATCAACATTTAAAAATATATATTAAGCATATAGTATATACTACTTAAATGCGTACGGAGGAAAATATCTCCATGATTTCAACGGTACACGATTACACACGAGTAGGACTGGGAGTCTGGGACGACTGCTTTACTCGTACGGTATATAAACATTTTTTGGCGCGATGATCGACACAGAGTCAGTGATAGGTACGTACATGTTATAGTTGGTAAGGGATATCAATTTCATTCAAGTATATACTTGATCAATTATCATCAAAGACGAAGATACAATCACTAAATTAAGATATGGTATATGTTTAAACACGTAGATACTTCGCACCCATGATATATAATTTACACGTACGTATACATATAATGGTCGATACTGATGCTGCGATATGTAATAGTAAATACACTATAGGTAAACGAGTGATGCAAATCTAAACACTTCTACAAATCATCGTCCACATGTTCTCATGGCTATAGTCTCTCTACATTCACTTAAAGATTGAATCTCACACTGTTAACTGCGTTAAGTGTACCGAAAATACAACATTTTCGGCGTTAACTTTAATCATTTTTAAAAAAGAAAAAAAAATGATAAACCATTCCTCGGAGAGAATATGAAAGTTTTGATGGCCACATACTATGTTAATCTGAGTGTAGACGATTCGATCTCAGGTTCCGTAGAATCCATGGAACGCCATGCTAACACCCGACCATAGACACGTGGTTAAATTTAATCATTTAATTTGCAAAGCAACTATGTAAGTTATATCTAATCAGTAAGACAAAACTAATTGATGGACAGCTTAAAGGAGTATCACAATAATCTTATCTTACAGCTTGATGCATATGGAGACATACCCGACTGTTCCCATTATGTTATAGTCGTCAGCATATCTAGTTGCAATGGTAACTCTTTTTTTGGGGGGGGTTAAACTGTTGCAATGGTAACTCATACGACTGTTTAACCAGCTCATCCAACATACGTGAGCCTATAAGACAAGGACTAAACAATGTGGGCCCATTTGATTATGACCCAAAAGCGACTTGTGATAAATTGGGCCCACTTCAAAATCCTTGAAGCTAGAGATAATCCCCTGTGAACCCCGAAAGCCAGAGGGCGTAATAAACGGTCCCACTGAACAAGTTGTACGGCGAATGATGTGTTGGGTCTAAATGGGCTGTGAAAACGAGATATATAGATGGGCCCAGCTCATTCATTGCTTGCCAGTGTCCTTTGGGTGTACCATAAACGGCAAGCTGTTACGGGTACACTGACTGCAATGCTTGCCGGTTCTAGGAAAAAAAATCTGACATGACATACTTTCTGTTGGGCTTCAAGATATTAATATGAACGAAAATAAAAATCGTATTTATCCCTATGAAATATGTCATCAATTATATTTAGTAAAAATTTCAAAAAAATATCCCAACTAAACTTTTGTAAGCTTTTTAACACTCAAATTTTTTCACTACCTAATTTAATACTCAACTAACTTTTTGTTTTAATCAAAATAATACCCAACTAATTATTTTGACCATTTTAATACCCAAACTTTGTTTATTTAATAAAAATACTGATTAATATTGAAATTGTTTTAAAAAATCTGTAAATTTTATAGAAAATTCTAATTTTATTTTTGGTGTGAGAAATAAAATTAAATATTTTTTATAATCTTAAGTTTTGTAAGTTTGAAATATTGAATTTAGTTTGTTTTCTAAAATACAAAATAAATTAATTTGTTTTCCTTCAAAATTAACTTTGTATGACTTTTAAATCTTCTCCAGATTTTATTTACCTTCTTGCTTAAATCTTCAAGTAAATTAGAAACTTTAAATATTTTATAGATTTTATTTTAAAATTTCGTTTGGGCTTATTAGTATTGTTAATTAAAATAAACAAAATTTGGATATTAAAATAGAAAAAATAATTAGTTGGAATATTAAATTAGGTAAAAAAATGTTTGGATACTAAAAAAATTATCAAAATTTAGTTGAAGTATTTTTATTCCCTAATATTTACTAGAACAATTTTTTTTTAGTTTTTAATATAATAGAGAGAATACATCAGTTAATTTAGTTATCAATTTCTTAAATTTTTAAATTCGAGTGGTAAAAGCCTTAATCTAGTTTTTATCAAAAAAAAGCCTTAATCTAGTTCTCAAAAATATATATTTAATCTTTTTTATCACTAATAAATATATATATTTAATCTCTAAACTCTAGAAATGTTGACAAAAAAATCTCTAAACTCTAAGATAAGCCTTTCAAACACTAACACCTTAAACATATATGGCAACTTAAAACAAAATAAAAGCCCAGTAAAAGGCCCATATATTCAGCCCACACAAGCTAACTTCAGAGGCAGCGTTCTACAAGTGATTGAGGTCGAGTAAAACCGTTTGTTCGGTGGCTTCATCAGATGATGTCTCTCGACATGTTCCATCGCATCGCCGGTTAAAGATTCGAGCTTGTTTCATCCAAGAATCTAACAGTTATCAAACATTGGTTTCTTACTTTTGTCTGAAAAAAATAAATCAGAGTTAGTTGCAATTAAACACCTTTCTTCAGGTATACTTTGCTTAACAACCTTGTCATCCTCTGTTTCACCCTTTTCACATGTTCTTATATGTATTCACGCATACGAAATTGTATCATTCTTTCTGCGTTTATTCTCTTTCCATAGGTTTTGATTTTTTTTGTGTTTCTCTGTTTCTGGTAAATAACATTTCTGATTAATATTGCCTATTGATAATTTACTGATTTTCTGATTCTTGAAGTAAAATTTGCTTTGATAAAAAAAAAGAAGTAAAATTTGCTATAAAGTAATGATTTTTTTTCAATTCTTGAAGTAAAATTTGCTTTGATAAAAAAAAAAGAAGTGAAATTTGCTATAAAGTAATGATTTTTTTGATTCTTGAAGTAAAATTTGCTATAAAGTCTTAATTTTTTTTTTTTGTCTTGGAAGTTGGAATCAGTTAAGCTATATGAAGTCTTGCTCCTTTGTGTGTAGGTATAATGAGTATTTACACTCCAATCACAACATGTTCTAGGAATGTTATCTACATCAAGAAGCAGCTAGGCACTCACCTCTCTCAAGGTTCATACAAGTTCCGAACTTACAGTCTTTCTTCAGGTGTTTCCAAAAGAGATTGTGGTGTATCATCTGTCTCTAACAGACAACAACCTTGTAGTTGGTCGGTGTTGATTAATCGATCAAACTTTGGTGGTCATAAAGGAAAGCTTGAAGCTTCTTTCTTGAGCCCTGATGCTAAAATGTCCAGAAACCTTTATTGGTGCTCGAGATTTGCTTATACTGGTGTGATTGTTAGCTTGCTTGTTTGTTGTTCTTCTTCAAGTCCTCAATCAGCATATGCAGACGCTTCCAGGGGTAAAGATTGTGATAGCAGCAATGGGAAGAGAGTCTACAAAGATTACTCTGTCATTGGTAAGTGTGTATATGATAGTGTTAATTTTGCTCAGTTTATCTTTATTTTTGTTTAATTGGGTAATGGTAATGGTTTTGTAGGTATACCTGGAGATGGTAGATGTTTGTTTCGTTCAGTGGCTCATGGTTTTTGCTTACGCTCTGGTAAAGTCGCTCCAAGCGAGAAAGTACAAAGAGAACTCGCTGATGAGTTACGTGCAAGAGTAAGTTAATCTGGTTTAGTGTTTTTATTTGTCATATGTTTTAATTTGGTACTAAGCCAATGTCTTTATGTTTAGATTAATCATGATATTTACATTCATGAGTTATCTTGAATGTGGTGATAGGTTGCTGATGAATTTATCAATAGAAGACAAGAAACAGAATGGTTAGTCTTCAGCCATTATTCATTTACTATTGGTGTTACTGAGATCATAACATCTTATTTTTAGTAACTCAGTTATAAACTATTAGATTTTCTATGCTTCTAGTAATTTTGATGTTCCTCATCAGGTTTGTAGAAGGAGATTTTGACACATACGTCAAACAAATCCGGAAGCCACATGTGTGGGGAGGTGAACCTGAACTCTTCATGGCTTCACACGTCCTCGAGTAACTTTCTCTCCTCCTCTTCCTTTTCATTTTGTATGTTTTCAGCTTCTTATAAGCATTCACAGTGTATATGTTTGGTGTGTTTTGTTAGAAACATGAACTTTGTTTTTTGATGATCACAGGATGCCAATCACAGTGTATATGAAAGACGAAAAGGCTGGAGGATTGATAGCTATAGCGGAGTACGGTCAAGAATACAGTAAAGAAGATCCAATACGGGTCCTATACCATGGTTTTGGTCACTATGATGCTCTCTTGATACACGAGAGTAAAGGTCCAACTCACAAGTCCAAACTATAGCATGCAAAGTTCTTGTTTTTGAATCTGGAATGATTATGAAGTGGCGGAAATACCCCTCCAGAATGGTTAGTTGTTTGTACTTTGTAGACAGCAAGTGGGATCTTCACATGCATCTTTGTGTTGGTAACTTTTGTCAGGTGGTTATGATTTTATCTTATCTTTTTCTGACCCAACCACAATCTAGATAGACATGTCTTGTAGAATTTTATCTTTTTATGTACTTTATACTTTTAATTTGAATAAAAGGTCAAATAATATGGTTGTTTCTAATCATATCTTGTGTGCCACACATTGTCAAATCGTGATAACATAAAGTTCTCAATGCTTGTGGAGTGTGCCAAGTGTTGTTGGTAACACTGCTATGGTTGTAGTGAAACTGTTAAAATGCTGGATAAAGACTTTGCTAGCTATACCATAGTAAACTAAAATCAAATAAACTCAAGGGCCACCTCTGAGTGAGAATTATATAAAATCTACATGGTTTCTTTTACATTTGGTTAACAGTTCAGTGAGATTGAATGTTTTTGATAAGTTTATAATTAACATAATGGTTAGATCTTTATATGTTCTTCTCTATCTACTAATACAAACTCAAATTCAATATCTTTGTCGCCAGACTCGACTTCCAAGTAGTAAAAAGCCTAGTCACGTCCATTTTCCAACAAAAAACAAATCCAATGATCATCGACATCACCATCTCTAGCCAATAACACTAATGAGACTTTTAAAATAGTAAAAAAAAAAAAGCACAGACATTTATAAAAAAAAAAAAACAACACACCTGCATCAGTCAATGACTACACACACACATCGGATTTACCAAATCCATAACCAAACAAATTACGTTATCATTATTTTATTACTATTTTTTTCAAATTTTGTCACATCCTCCAACACACTTGAAGCTCCCACAACAATTCAAAAAACCTTCCCCATGTCTACATTACACCACGTTTGCTTCACTCATCTCCTACATTCTTCTCCTTCGTCTCATTCTTCTTCACTCATCTCTTTCTCTGCAACTCCTCGTTGCATGAACTTACTATAACCAAGAAAAAAAATGCATTTTCTTCCACTTCTTGTTTCTTTATTCTTCTTACACTTCATAACCTTCTCCTCCTCGCTAAACCCTGATGGTCTATCTCTTCTCGCACTCAAATCAGCAGTCACTCACGACCCGACACGTGTCATGACAACCTGGTCCGAATCCGACCAAACACCCTGCCACTGGCCAGGAATCACCTGCACACACAAACGCGTCACATCCCTCACTCTCACCGGAAGAAGAATCTCCGGCTACATCCCCTCAGAACTCGGACACCTCGACTCACTCACAACTCTCAAACTCAACCGCAACAACTTCTCCAAACCCGTCCCGACACATCTCTTCAACGCCGTCAACCTCCGTTACATCGACCTCTCACACAACTCAATCACAGGCCCATTACCGGCCCAAATAAAATCCCTCGAAAACCTCACTCACCTCGACCTCTCCTCCAACGACCTCAACGGCTCCCTCCCCGAGTCGCTCACCCGACTCGGCAGCCTCGTCGGGACGCTCAACCTCTCGTACAACCGATTCTCCGGCGAGATTCCGACGTCGTACGGCCGGTTCCCGGTCCTCGTCAGCTTGGACCTCGGCCATAACAACCTCGCCGGAGAAATTCCTCAGGTCGGATCTCTGCTGAACCAAGGACCGACGGCGTTCGCCGGAAATTCTGACCTCTGTGGCTTTCCGTTACAGAAGCTTTGTTCAGAGCCTTCCCCTAAACCGGAAGGCTCCCAAATCATCAATAAAAAACCAAACCGGAATTTAAAAAATAATAATAAACCGGTTACTGGTATAACCGTAATAACCGTAATAACCGTTTCGCTCATAACCGGAGTGGTTTCTCTCTCCGTGTGGATGATTCGAAGAAAACAAAACTCCGGCGAGTTCAAATCGGAGAACACGGCGGCGCCGGCGCCGGAGGAGGAAGGTAAGCTCGTTGCGCTGGACGAAGGATTCGAGCTGGAGCTTGAGGATCTGTTGAGAGCTTCTGCTTACGTGGTGGGGAAGAGTAGAAGCGGGATTGTGTATAGAGTAGTAGCCGGAATGGGATCGGGCACGGTGGCCACGACGGTGGTGGCGGTTAGAAGGCTAAGTGACGGGGACGCCACGTGGAGGAGGAGAGATTTTGAAAATGAGGTGGAGGCAATAGGTAGGGTCCACCATCCGAATATTGTGAAGTTGAGAGCTTATTACTATGCGGAGGACGAGAGGCTTTTGATCACGGATTATTTACGTAATGGCAGCTTGTACTCTGCTTTACATGGTAATGTTAGCTTAACCACTAATCATGATTGCTAATTACGATTGTTATTCTTTTATTTTGTTTTTTTTTGCTTAGCTTTTATGAGAAAAAGAGACAAGATTGGGTTTATTTTGGGAGTTAGTGTTTCTTGATCTAGTTGATGGTTGGATCTATCTACATAACGTTTTTGTCATTGAGTATTTGTTTGATTGTGTTGTTATTTGATTGGCGTTTTGTTTTTGTTCCTTTCGTATTCATAATCTTTTTGAACTCGTTCACATGTGTGGTAACTGTTATAGTTTCAGACAGCTTTGGATCTTTCTTCTTGTCGGAAGCAGCAATGTAATTCGTTTTGTTGTGTTTGTAGATTAGTTTTGAAAATAGGAGAGAACAGTGTGGGAAGTAGTGTAACAGTCTTGTTTGTATTGACTTACATGAGATAACAGTTCTGGTTTAAGATCAGTGTTTAATGGGACAGAACAGAAGTCAGATTAAGCTGAGGGATGTTTGTTTAAGTATACACAGTTGCCAAGTTTTTGATTCTTGTTGTTCACCGTTGACTTTTTGGTTTTGTTTTGTAGGAGGATCTTCAAATACTCTGCCTACACTATCTTGGCCTGAAAGGTTACGTATTGCACAAGGAACAGCTCGTGGGTTGATGTATATACACGAGTACAGCCCTAGAAAATACGTCCATGGCAACCTAAAATCAACTAAAATCCTGCTCGATGATGAGCTACAGCCACGCATCTCAGGCTTTGGTCTAACACGTCTAGTCTCGGGCTACTCAAAGCTCACCGGTTCGTTATCATCCAAAAGACAAAGCATAGACCAAACGTTCTTAACTTCTGCCACAGTGGTGACAAGAATCTCATCTCCCTCTGTTGCTTACCTTGCACCAGAGGCTCGAGCTACTTCTGGCTGTAAATTATCTCAGAAGTGCGATGTTTATTCGTTCGGGGTTGTGTTAATGGAGTTGTTGACTGGTCGTAAACCTAATGCTTCCTCTGAAAACAATGGTGAAGAGCTCGTGTGTATTGTTAGGAGTTGGTTTAAAGAAGGGAAGCCTTTGGACGAGATTTTGGACCCGGAGATTATAAACAAAGGTTACGCAGAGAAGCAAGTTGTTGCAGCTATTCATGTTGCCTTGAACTGCACGGAGATGGATCCAGAGGTTCGTCCAAGGATGAGATCAGTATCTGAAAGTCTTGGCCGAATCAAATTAGACTAATAGCTGAGAAAGCAATGAAGTTTTGCAAATCGTGCGAGCCTAAAATTCATGTCTTGCTTCTCTGGGAGCTATGTTTCTTTGTTTTGCCATGTCGTAGGGTTTAGGGTTCTCTTAATCATCGGGTTATTGTTATGTTTTGTTGTTTGTTTATCATCTTGATAACAATAACGAAGTTTGTAATAAAACAATGTCCCCATTAATTTTTCATGTTCAAATGATCTCAAAATGATTATTTCAACAAAAGTTGTAAGAAATTTCATGACTGGTTCTAACAAAAATTTTAAAACTAAGTAACCGACCATTTCAAATTTGTATAAAACGAGATGAGTATATCATTATATAGAATCACAAGTTGTTTAAAAAATATTAATTAGATGTAATCGTCTTCTGACTTGGAAAAAAAGAGTAAAGAAAGACTTAGATCCAATATTTAAGCTAAAGTAGAGTGTTTTAAAAAAAAAAAAAAGCTTGACTAGAGTAAATTTTTAAAAATTGTAATTACTCTAAACATCAGGTTTGTACAAATTCTTTAATTAATTAATTAATTTTCGAATCTAACGTTACTTCTTAGCTTAGATTAACTATCGGCTAAACTAGCATCAAAACCGGTCAAATCTATACGCCCGTGAACGGTCACGATCCGGTTGACTTAACAAACGCGCACAGAAACTCAGGTAGACTCGCACGCAGACAACAACAACACTAGGTTATCAAAGGGCAAAATCGTAAATCTCCAAATCAGGAACTGTAGTGGTAGGTTACTTTCGTTTTTTTATCCCGCCTCTCCCTCTCAATTCGAATTTCGAAAATCCGCACACGTGACTGTTCGTTCGCACGTGCCAACGTTTTGATTTGTTTTATAATCCCGCTCCCCTGAGAGAGAGATCGTTACTCATTCTCTCTTCCCCCAAAAGAAAACACTCTCTCAGCCGCTTCGGAGTTTCATCGATTCATCAAATCCCTTAATTGAAGAAGATTCAGAGGTAAAAACGAATCTCTTCAATTTCTCTGTTCGATTTGAGTAGAGATACGACTCTTAGTGGATTTAAACGCCGTTTCTTGTGAATCGATTTTCCTTTTTCGTTTCTTGAGATTTTTAATTGAAATGATCGATTTGGATTTGAATTTGATCTTGAATGATTTCTCTAATCGGATTCTTGTGTGTTTCAGGCACCGAATCTGATAAAAAAAATGGCAGAGGCGAGAGATAGAGTGGAGAGACCGGTGGATTACGCGGCGATATTCGCTAACAGACGCAGGCACGGTGTGTTACTCGACGAGCCAGCTTCACGTCTCTTTGAACATCCAGTTCAGAGATTGCCATCTCGGGTGAATCCTTCACGATCGGGATATTCGGTGAGAGGAGGAGGAGGGAATTACAGTGGATGGAGGAGTGGGAGTAGGGTTAGATTGTTACAGGGAAGAGAGAATGAGTCTGCTAGGCGTGGAAGTGGAAGTGGGAGTTTGTTACCTTCTTGGTACCCAAGAACGCCTCTACGTGATATTACTCATATTATGAGGGTATAGAGATTAATAACTCTTGTGGTTAATTAATCAGTTTTGGTTCAGCCTTGGTTAGATGAACAAACGGTTTTGCTGAGTCTTTTAGTTTACTCAAAGTCCTTTTTAAGCTGAATTATAATTGGTTTGTGTGTAGGCTTGCTTGTGTAGGCTGAATCATAAATCCAAAGGCTTGCTTAGCCTTTTGTGTGTGGATTCTGGTCTGATATGGGGTTTTGCAGCTTGGTTTAGATGGACAATGGTTATCGCTGAGTCTTTTAGTTAGCACATTGGGTCTCGTAGTCCTTCCTTTTGTCAGCTGAATCATGATTGGTTTTGAAGTAGGCTTGCTTAGTATTTCTGTTTAAGCTGAATCTTAAAGCCAAAGTCTTGCTTAGCCTTTTGTGCGTTCATTCTTGTCTGTTATGGGTTTTGCAGCTTGGTTAGATGGAGAATAGTCTTTGCCGAGTCTTAGTTTCCTCACTTAGTCCTTCCTTTTCAGCCGATTTGTGTCCGTATATCCATTAAAGGAGGCTTGCTTAGCCTTTTATGGGTATGGTCTGATATTGGTTTTTGCAGCTTGGTTTAGCTGGACAATGGTTTTTTTTTTTTTTGGGCGACATGACAATGGTTTTGTTTGAGTCTTTAATTTCCGTATTGGGGTCTCTTAGTACTTGTTTAGCCTCTTAGGACAATGTTCATTGAATGAGGCTTGCTTAGCCTTTCTGAATCATAGCTTTTGTTGCCAAAAGGCTTGCTTAGCCTGGCGATTTATTCTGTTTATGTCTTTGCTAATTTCAGGCTATTGAGAGGAAAAGAAGAGCTGGTATGGGAGTAGACGATGGTCTGCAGACTGAGACTCCAACTCAGCGACAAGTTCTTGAAACTCCAGTAGGTGAGCACAGTTGCTTTATGGTGACACCTGCTCCAGCTGTGGGATTCAAGCGTAGCTGCCCACCATCAACTGCTAAAGTCCATAAGATGTTGCTTGACATCTCAAAGGAGATATCTGAGGAAGAAGCAGGGTTCATCACGCCAGAGAAGAAGCTACTCAATTCTATTGACATGGTAGAGAAGATTGTGATGGCGGAGATTGAGAAACTGAAGAGCACTCCTCTTGCCAAAAGGGAAGAGCGGGAGAAAAGGGTAAAGACTCTAATGTCAATGCGATGATGATCCTCCACACTTAGGAGAGAGAGGGAGGTATCAGTGAGTACATACATCATCTTCTGATGATACCAAAAATCAATGGATCATCTTCTGATGATATATGTCTTCTACGAGTCCTTTGAGTATATCATTTTCTTATGATTCTACTAGAAAAGTTCAATCATCTTGTTGATGATTTTGTAAGATCAGGAACCATCCACTGATGGATAATAGTTTTGATAGTTTTACACATAATGTTTGGCGTCTGCTCTGTAGACATTTTTTCCCTTTGTAAATGAAACTCGTTCTTTGTTATTACGTTGAATAATTGTGATTTGTGAGTTGGTATGAATCTTTAGCTTTGCTAGTTAGTTTAGCTTCAAGTTCAGAGAATAATTAAGATCACATTTGATGTACAGTTACAATTGAATGTTAGAATTACAGTCGGATTAAAACTTGGTAACACATAATAGACAAGAGAACATAGTTCATGTAAACATAGACCACACAAGATTCAGAGGTTTGTCATCAACACTGTTTGTTCCCTTGTGAAGTTTGACCCTTTTCTTGTACTCAACTACATCCTGCATATTTGAATCTCCTCAAATCAGTATAAAACTCACAACATACACTTTGGTTCCTATGATTCAGAAACTATGCATGCCATCATCATTACCTGAATAAAGAGATGGTAACCATCAGTCTGTGCAGGGTCAGCGGGTTTAGGGGTGTCAAGTAAATCCTGAATGCCGACAAGAATCTGCTTCACTGTGATGGCTGGTGATGGAGAAAAATGCTAAAGAAAAAGAGGACTTACGGAATCCTCGTTAAGGATGGAGAGACAAGACTGTTCCTGATGGATAGACACATTAGGGTGGAAAAAGTTTGGTGGGAATTTGCATTGAGGCGGCGCCAAGGGACGACTATCAGGAGGAACTCTCTTAAGCACTTGGTTCAAATCAAACACAACACGACCAATGTAATCATCTTTCAAGTACTCCGAAAGGACCGAAACAATTTAATCAAAGAGTATTATGTGTTAGTAGTTTACATGATAAACTATTTTTTTTTTCAACGATAAAAATAATTGATGCATCTTTTAAAATATATGAAAAGGGAATCATCATTCCCTTTAATCGTCTGACGTGTCATAGCTCGGATCTAACTAGCCCTGCAACTTTAAACTGAACCGAATGGTCGAACCGAGCCGAATCAAAATTTCCGGTTTCGGTTTTGAATTAGGTTTTGTTCGGTAGGATTTTGAAAAGTAATTCGATTTTTGGTTGGGTTTGGTTTTTGATTTTCAAAAAATAAAAATTCAAAAACCAAATAAATCCAAAAATAACTGAAAACTCTAAACCGAATTAAACCAAAAAAACCAAAAAACCGAAAATATCAGATTTTTTGGAACATTATACCGAAATTAACCAAAAACAAAAAAAAAATCGATTATTTTTGTAAATAATTTTGAAAACTGAAATTAACGGAACCGAACCGATTTTTAATTTGGTTAATTGCGAAATAGGCTTCAAATTTTTCGGTTAAAGTAAAACCGACGGTTCGGTTCGGTTTCGGAAAACCGAAGTTGCAGGCCTAGATCTAACGGTTAATAATCCTACGGCTACAGAAACAAAGACGTAGATTAATGGTGGTGACTACAAAAAAAGTAAAAGCTAGCTCATTTACATTTCCAAAGCTAGCCCATTTACATTTATTCTTTTTTTTTTCAATTCTAATTGGGTATTTAAATTTCTCTACAGATTAGTTTTGATTGATAGCTGACCAATGAGTCAATGACTATGAGGAATAGGGGTGGGCACTTTAGTTATTTTGTCGGTTCGATTTGGTTAATTCGGTCCTAAAATTTTTCCAACTAAAGTAAACTATAATTAGTTTAGTTTTGATCGGTTTTGGTTCGGTTTGTATTCGACTTGGTTTTTGTTTCGATTTGGTTTGATCGGATTTTCTTAGTTTAGTTCTTTTAACATAAATCATGTTTTAAATCATAAAATGGTGGTGACTACAAAAAAAAAACTATGTACACTAAATCTAATATAAAAATTAAAACAAAAACCTTTAATCACACAAATTTTTTATAAGAACACTATCGAATCAAAGTTAACTAAAGTAAATAAAAATAAAATGGTTAATAATACCTATTAAAAATAAACTATGTAAATTAAATTTAATATAAAATTGAAACAAAAACCTTAAAAACTTGTATAAAATTTATAAAAACACAATCAAACCAAAGTTAACTAAAGTAAATTAAAAATTGAAAAAACTCAACATCGTGAATAGTTACTTTAGTTTAAGCTTTTAGTATATTGTATATTGCTAATATGTTTAATTTAAATAATAATAAAACACACTAATATCTGGGGTTCGGTTCGGTTGGTTTAGGTTGAAAAAATATTTAACTAAACTATTTAATAATTGACTTTGGTTTGGTTTAGTTTAGATCAGTGTCGATTCGGTTGGTTTGGTTTGATTCGGTTCCGTTCGGTTTTTTTTTGTCCACCCCGAATGAGGAAGTGTTAGAAGCTGCAACATAAATGTCATAATTTAAATTTCTCTGGTTTAGTTTTGATTAATAGCTGACCAATGACTAAAGTGCTAAAACCTACAACAATTAGCTTAGCAACAACCATTAAAAAACCTTTAATAATTATTTTTAAAAGAATGAAAATTAGCGAAAGTAAAAAAAAGTGCAGCTATATAAATTTTGAAAATCGACAAGGCTCAGTTCCAACTATTAAAAGAGCAGAGCAACAAAGCAAGATACAAAGAACAAAGCTATACAATTTTTTTTTCTTTGAGGTATATGCATATATTTGCCAATATTTGATCTCTTTGTCCTGGTGAATGTATTGTAGTTATATATCCTTTCTTCTTTTCATGTCTTCAATCTCTAATGGTTAGTTTTCTTCTAAATCATATTTCATTTCTCTGTATCTCTCATTTTTTTAAAGTATTTTATTAATGAATCTTTGTTGATTAAGCAAAAACAGACCCCTGAGCAAAATGTCTTCACCACAGAAAGAACACGATTTCATCATCCTCCACTCAGCCTTCCCTCCCCGCACAAGAATCCAAGTCCATTGCTGATGACAACGCAGACGATGAAGAGATAGTGTACCGTCCAAGTACGATGACATCGACACAAGAACCCAACTCCATTGCTGACGACAACTCAGATGATGAAGAGATAGTTTACTGTCCAGAACGTAACTGAGGAGTAATGCTATGTTTTCAAGTCTCTGCAAAAGCTATCTATAATAAGAATTGTGATACCGTCTTTTCTACATAACCTAATGTTACTGTCTTTCTTGGTTTCTTTCAATAATATTTGTTTCCTTTTGATAATTTCCGTTTTCAGTGATGATGTTGTTCATATTACTGATCATATCAAATGAGAATACAAATATAAAGCTATAGTGTGACAAGTAATATTAATGCCATATTACTAATGCTTTGATAGATAGTACAGTATAATATTAATGATGATGTTGTTGATGTTTTAAACTAAGTACTCGTGCGTTTCTGGTGGATGTGAACAGAGCGAAGAAAAAATGACTTAATCAGAGCCAAAGCCATTAAAACAATATCCAAATAAAAGGTCGTCAGCTAGCAACATCGTCTGGTTTTAAGTAGCATAGGACAGCTAGTTTTTTTATAATATCTCGAGACTAAAAAGTCTAGTAGCAACCTTCCACAGGCTCTTGGCGTAGATGAACAAGTTTATTCCAGATTTTGATTTAAAAAAAAGAAAGAACAAGTTTATTCCAGATAAATATATTTAGATGGTGAAAGAGAAAAAGGTCTCAAAAGAGACTAATTGAAATGTTGAGGAGAAAGAGAGAGTGCTGCTCAACCGATTTTTATTCTATTTTTCTAATTAAAGTAAGATTGTTGATGTGTTGGTGATTACTTACTAATCAATCTCACCCCATTTACATCTATCCTCTAAGTAATGAGTCAGTGAAGAGCTAAAAGCTACAACAACTAGTGGGATGAAATAAACATAAATGTCATAATTTTAATTTCTTTTCGGTTTACTTTTGATTAATAGCTAACCAATGACTCAATGCCAATGAAGAATGACTAAAAGTTAAAACAATTAACTAGTAACAACCATAGAAGAAACGTATACGAATCATTTTAACAAAAAAAAAAATTAGGGAAAGCAAAAAACTGCAGCTATATATATTGAGAATCTACAAGACTCAGTTCCAATCATTAAAAGAGCAGAGCAAGAAAGCATAGAGAAACAAAGCCATACAATTTTTTTCTTTGAGGTATGCATAATTTGCATATATGCATATATTTGCCAATATTTGGTCTCTTTTGTTCTGGTTAATGTTTGTAGTTACATATTACATGCTTTTCTTCTTCTTCTTTTCATGTTTGTTCTCTAATCTCTATGGTTACTTAATGTTCTTATTATTTGTTCGTTTTTTTTTCTCTAAAACATATATCATTTTCTATACTCTCTCACATTTTGAAAGAATTTTATTAATGGATCTTTGTTGATTAAGCAAAAGCAGACCCTGAGAAGATGTCTTCACCAAACAACAACAAAACACCATCATCCACCACTCCTCAGTCTTCCCTCCCGGACGCTGCCACCACTGAAGCAAACAAAGTTGAAGAGAAGGCGATGACGTCGACCCAACAACCCAACTCCGTTGCTGATCAACCGTTCATATCAAAGACGGACAGATACTTATGCGAAATATGCCGCGAAACATTTATAACCTATGATGATCTACGACTTCACAAGATGATGCATGTGGGATACTGGTAAGTATTGTCCATATAGAGGACGAAGCTGAGGAGTAATGGTATAAGCGTTACGATGTTCAATCTGTCTGCAAAAGCTATCTATAATAAGACTTGTGATACCATCTTTTCTATATAAACTATTGTTACCGTCTTTCTTTGTTTCGATAATATATATTGTCCAAAAAAATAAAAGAAAAATATATATATATATGTTTCCTTTAGATAATTTCTGTTTTCAATGATGTTATTCATATTAACGATCATATCAATTGATGAAAATGAGAATACATCATATAAAACTAGTTTGACAAACTTCAGGTCCAGAAAAACAACTTTGCTACCATATTACTCATGCATTTTGATTGATGGGTATATATTAATGATGATGATGTTGATGTTTTAATCTTAAATTAAGTAAACGTGTTTCTGTTGGATGTGAAAACAAAGAGCTTATTACTAAAGATAAATGGCTTAGAGATGCAAGAGCCTAAACCATTAAAATATTACCCAAGTCAAAGGCCATGAACTGGCATCATTGTCTGGTTTTAAGTAGCATTGAACATATAAGTTGATAAGTTCTTTAGACTATCAAGTTATAGCAGCAACCTTCCACAGGGTAAAAGGCTCTTGGTGCAGACAAAAGAATCGTTGTTGTTGCTTATGGCTTTCAAGCTGTCTTCTACAACTTCGTTTCTCTAAGTCAAACTTAGAAAGCTAGTGAAACCTAAATCGTATAAAGAGAAAAGAAAGCTTCAACGAAAAGCAATCATAATGGCCGTTGTCGATTTGTTGTAGGAAGTTACTCATTTATATTTATCCTCTTTTTAATTTTAGTTGAAAAATTTCTCCAGTTTCATTTTGATTAATAATTCACCAGTGTGTCAATATGACCATGAAAAAGGGCAAGAGAACCCAACTCCATTACTGACGACAACGCAGATGATGAAGAGATGTAATGCTATGTTTCAAATTTGTCTGCAAAAGCTATCTATAATAAGAATTGTGATAAAAGAGCAAAGCAAACAAAGCCATGGAATTTTTTTTCTTTGAGGTATGTGCATATTAGGGCATGCATGCATTTGCAAATATTTGGTCTCTTTGTTCTCGGCTTATGTCTTGTAATTACATATCTTCCTCTTCTTTTCATGTCCTCAATCTCTATGGTGACTTCATATTCTTCTTACAATTTGCTTCGGTTTAAATCATATTTCATTTTCTATATACTTTCTCATTTTTAAAGTATTTTATTATTGGATCTTTTTTAATTATGGAAAAAAAGCAGACAATGAGAAGATGTCTTCACCGCACAAGAACACAAATTCATCATCCTCCACTCAGACTTCCCTTCTCGACAAAAGAAAAAAGAA